TCCCATCATCACACTTCAGATGCCAATTCTGAAAACATCAGCATAAAAGCAAACCACGGAAATACCCTTAAAGTTAGTTAGCTTTTCTTTGATGATACGAAATGCATGCTAAGATTCCCTATCTTTATTAACTCCTCACCGATAAAACTTACAAGGGCGTTTCCCGAAGCGTGTACCACGACCCCTCTTCTGCCATGACACATCCCTGGGAAGTAGGATGGTGGGGTCGTCTGCCTGGGTGTGAGCCAGCCCAGCGGCAGGGGCAGGGCACCCTGAACTGTGGTCCCGCGTCCGTAAACGGGGGACAGGAGAGCCAACTCCCAGGCTTGTTCTGAGAATTAAATGAGGTGACACGTGGAAGGGGCTCAGCACGACAGGTAGCACCTGAAAAGCTGGCGGTTATATTCATTATTTTGGTGACACATTTTGGAAACAATCTCCTACAGGGTCTGGCCAAAATTCCCTACCCAAATACATGTGACCCTTCAAAAGCTGATTCCCGCCAGCCCTTCCACACTCCTGAGCCCCCGCCATGACCCCTCCACGCGCACTCACACAAACGGATCGCTGCAACCTGAACTCTGCCCTTCCCTGACAATTCCATGGGCTTTCCTGTTTCTGGACCTCCATACGGACTGTTCCCTGCGCTTTGCTGCTTGTGTGTCCTGTTCTCTAAACGCTGGGGTTTCTGGGGGCAGGAGCCCTATTCTATTCAGCTTTCAGCTTCCCAGGGCGGGACTGGATGTGCTGACCTGGGAACCAGGCCTGGGCCATCTGGGTGCCATTGGGCAGGGTAGCACCTCCGTGCATTCAGAACCAGTCTTGACCCTCAAAAAGCTTCCCGCGAGGACACATGTCATTACACATCTGTCAAAATACAACAAGAGGGAACCCTAAAGGGCCCAGTTGGTTAGAGAATCATCCCAATACACCAAGGTTGCAGGTTCGATCCCTGGTTAGGGCATATACAAGCATCAACCAATGAATGCATCCATAAGTAGAACCAAAAAAATCAGTCTCTCTCTCTCTCTCTCTCTCTCTCTCTCTCTCTCTCTCCCTCCCTCCCTCCCTCCCTCCCTCCTTCCCTCCCTCTCTCCCCTAATGTAAACTGTGGACTTTGAGGGACAAGGCTGTGTTAACATGGATTCACCGATTGTAACAAATGCTTCCTGTGACTCGGGATGTTGATGGCAGAGGAGACTAGGAGGGCAGGTGGGAGCAGGTGGTACATGGAACTCTGCTTTCCATCCAATTTTGTTATAAACCTAAAACTGCTTTAAAAAAAAAAATAATAATCTACTAAAATTAAATGGCGAAACACAAATTATAATTAAGGCAGCTCTAAACTCAAATCAAAATGAATTTTCCTTTCCCGATCTAAAGCTATTATCAAGTTTAGGACACAGCTAAACCACAGGGCACTTCTCATGGCAAAACGAAACAACCGCCCATATCGGGTCCCCAGGCCTCACCGAGACCAAACGTGTTGCTCTGTTTTAGAGGGACGTCCACTTTCTCCGCTGACGCGCCGAAGGCTCTCTTTGCAAACGGACCCCAACCCAAAGCCAAGTGAGTGGAACAGACCCTGCTCACGCCTCCGACTCGGGCTTCGCTCCTCCCGATGCAGATGCACCGAAGGAGAACACAGTCCCGGCGGCTCTAGGGCACCCGTGCGCTCAGAGGCAGCTACCGGACTGTTCTACAAAAGGCCATGCATACCTCAGACGCCGTCTGCCGCAGAACGAAAGCAGGCCATCAGGAAAGAAAGTGATGCAGTCTAATGCAGATGCCTCAACATCGCACCTGAGCGTTAGGAGATCAGTCACCCTGCCACCCACACTGACGGCAGCATGCGACTTCCCCGCGTCAGCCTTTGGGACAGCACCGCGGTGGGGGAATCCGGGCTTGACCTTTGCCCTCTCGCTGCCAGAAACAATGGTTTGCGGAGAGTAATGACTAACTAACCCTACGCGTCTCCAGACACGCCTCGCCTGGCGCCTCACACCGTAGCTCTGCCTGGTGATTGGCAGGGGTGGCTTCTCAGACCCCAGGAATGTGCTGCTGCTTCACATCCCTGGATCTGCAAACACCCAGGCCCCCACGCCCGGGGGGACCTCGCCTTCTCTCCCACCTGCTGCTCTCCTCTGCGTCTCTCTGGTCCCTGGGCAAAGAGGGAAGGCTCTCGGAGGGAAGGATCCTTTTTTCCCTGAGGCTTCCTTTCGCTGCCAGGGCTTCGGGGTTCGGTGGGGCAGGAGGGCCCGGGTGAGGGCAGGAGGGCACCCATCTCAGCGTGGGTCTGTTCTCAGCTGTTCGTCTAAATGTGGGGCTCCCCTGCTGAAACCTGTTTGGCTCAGCCTGCGGACTGAGTGTCAGCCTGCGGACTGAAAGGTCCCAGGTTCGATTCCGGTCAAGGGCATACACCTTGGTTGCGGGCACATCCCCAGTAGGGGGGTGTGTAAGAGGCAGCTGGTCAATGACTCTCTCTCATCGATGTTTCTAACTCTCTATCCCTCTCTCTTCCTCTCTGTAAAAAATCAATAAAAAATATATATTTAAATGTGGGGCTCCCCTACTAGTCTGTGCACATCTTTTTTTTTAATTTTTTTTTATTGATTTCAGACAAGAAGGGAGAGGAAGAGAGAGACAGAAACATCAATGATGAGAATCACTGATTGGCTGCCTCCTGCACACCCCCTATTGGGAATGGAGCCCAAAACCCGGGCAAGTGCCCTGTCTAGAAATCAAACCGTGACTGCCTGGTTCATAGGTCAGTGCGCAACCTCTGAGCCACACCGGCTGGGCAGTCTGTGCACATCTGAACAGCAATGTCTGATGCACTGCAGTTGCTCAAGATTTTCCTCATTGAAAAAGACTCTCCAATTGGAACAACCACATGTTGCTATATTATTAGAGACAGCACTATACATTTCCCATACTGTATCTCTTTTAATATGGACAACAGCCCTAAATAAAGCGAGGGTCATTATTCCAGAAGTGAAGTCACTTTTCCAAGGTTATCTAACCAAAAAGTGACAGACCTATAAGTTGAACTCAAGTCCCAGACTCCAAAGGCTGCGCCTGCAACTACTCTATGCCTTCCAATGCATGTGAAGAATACTTACTCTAATGTAACTTTCTGGGAATACTCAAAAGTAAAATCACTGCATATATTTTTAAATGATCTCTATAACTAAATGTCTGCCAAGAATTTAGATGAGCTTCCTGCCCAACTTATGTACAGTATCAAGGTTCTTCCTTTATATTCATGCACATACCTATATTTAAATATATATTTCCAACCCTAGCCGGTTTGGCTTAGTGGATAGAGCATCAGCCTGTGGACTGAAGAGTCCCAGGTTCAATTGCAGTCAAGGGCCCACATCTAGGTTGCAAGCTCAGTGCCCAGTAGGAGGTCATGCAGAAGGCAGCCGAACAATGATCCCTTCTCATCATTGATGTTTCCATCTCTCTCCCTTCCTCTCTAAAATCAATAAAAATGTTTAAAAATAAATAAATAAATCTACCTAAATGGGTTACTAATAAGCAAAAGAGAGAGAGAGAGAGAGAGAGAGAGAGAGAGAGAGAGAGAGAGAGAGACAGACAGACAGACACAGCCAACCATTGACCAACAAGGTCAGAGCGCATTTATTCTAGTGTGTCAGCTACAGAGCTAGGCATGTCTGCTGGGCAGGACGGGCTCCTACACAGGAGAATAAACTCCGAAGGAAGACCTGACCTCTGAAGCCAGAGAATCACCATGAAGGCCAGCAGGAGGCAGAAGTGCTCCGGCAGAACAGCCCCTGGGGCAGAAGAGTCGCCTGTGGAAGAGCCAAGGGGAGAAGAGGACCTTCTGTGACCCCACATCCTAGATGCACTTGGAGAGAAGGTGGATCGTGAGGGGCGGGGATCAGACACCATCCATCAATCACTTCCAACAGGCACCGCCCCTCTTCTCCATCACCCTGAGGCCTTGGGCAAGGGTGTCCCAGGGCCTCGGAGTAAGGCTTGACTCTCAGGAGCTGTAGTCATTTCAGCTCAGGCAACCTCTCAACCATCCCCTCACCCACTAGCCGGTGTGACCCGTGGTTCTCAAGACAAATGCTGTTGTGTGCCCTCCTCACCGCGTCTCCTCTCTGGAGTGTCTGAGAGACTGGAACCCTGCAGGGCCTGCTTGTTCGGAAGGACACGCTGCCCTCAGTCAGAGGCTCTCCTAAAGAGCAATGCCATCTATAACTGGCTATAGAGTCAACCCAGGGTTTGCTTAAGGCCCAAAGAAGTCTCACAGATGGTACAAAGGGAAACGAGGGTCAGGAGGAATCTCAATGGGAACCAAAGTCCATGTGCCAGGCTCCTACCAAAAAACTCCCTGCTCACACTCACTCTGAACGCTTATTCCCTCTTCCTTCCCTTCGGAGAGGAAAACAGAGAAACAAAAGAGCAAAAAAGGAAAGCAGCTGCATCCCTCCCTCCGAGGGCGTGGCCGCCTGGACGCGCAGCCGGAATGCCACCCCGGCTACCCACCCGCTCCACCCTTCAGCAGACTGAAAATGAGGTTGGCGAGGAGAGCCTCTCATTGCCAGCTCCCCCAAACCCGGCCCATCAGTGGGAACAAGAGGGAGGCCGTCACCCCGGGAGGCCCCAGGTGTGTTCTTGCTTCTCTCCCCAGAGACTGTCAGATCAAGGCCCTGCCGATATAGCAGGGTTCATCTTCTAAGCCGGTGATTCCCAAAGTGTGGTACTTGGCATACCCCCAGGGGAACGGGAAGAGTTTGGTGGGGGTACGCGTTGCACCGGAGTTTGGTGGGGATATGCACTGCACCGTGCTTAGCTGCGCCTACTTCTACGTTCTCATGCGTACGAGGGGTACTCAGCGTTATGAAAATTATAGAAGGGAGACACATATGTCAAAAGTGAAAAGGCAAGGCAGGTGCCCAGACAGAGGGGTGGTCCCTTGGGTGAGTTCTCGCTCGCGCACCCGCCACACACACACACCCCCTTACCTCCCGCAGCTCCAGCCTCTGGGCCACAGCCTCCAGGCACTCCTGCCCCGTGCTCTCCACCGACAGCGTGCACTCGATGACATTGCTGTCCAGCAGGCGGATCCGGGTGACGAAGCAGTTCTTGCTCAAGACGTTGTAGCGCCGCGTCCGGCGGAGCTTCAGGCCGAAAGGCATGGTGGCTCTGGCCCTCGGAGGCCGCCCTCCTCGCCCGGCGCCCTCGCCCCTGGGATGGCCTTAGCAGTCCAGGGACCCGGCGATGGCGCTACCAGCCGTGCTCCTCCAGACCCGGGAGAAGGTGTCCATGCCCGGGGTGGCACGCCTCGGGGTCGCTGCAAAGAGGAAAGCAGCAAGGTCACTCGGGGAGGGGACGCGGTGGGGGACGGGGCACGTTTTTCACTGCACAGACACCCTCTTCCCCCAGATAAACATCCAGGTTCCAGAACCTGCAAGACCCTGGGGAGAGCCTGTGCCCCGTATCTTATCTCGCAAGGGCGACAGGATAAACTCCTGTGAGAGCCGAAGGAATGGAGATTCGGAGAGATTAAAGGAACTCATCCAAGCACTGGCCAGTGGCTCCGTTGATTGGAGCTTCATCCCGTACATCAAAAAGGTTTCAGGTTCCATCCCCCGTCAGGGCACATACCCTAGGATGTGGCTTCCATCACTGCCCAGAGCGCATACTGGAGGCAACCAAGCTGTTTCTCTCTCCCTCCCTCCCTCTCTCTCTAAAGTCAATAAGTATATCCCCAGGTAAGAATTAACTAATTAATTGATTAAATAAAAGAACTCATACATGGCAAAGAGTTCACACCCAATATCTATGCAACCTCAACTCACATGCTTTTTTCACAGTACCATCCTGTCTGCTCAAGAGAGCAATCGGAGTGGGATCAACACTGTTTCTTTAACGTCTAAATATATATGATCTCATTTCAACCTCCTGAACAACCCTGTGGCGTGGATGTTTTGCAGAGAGAAAAAGCAAGGTTTTTGTTGGTTTAAAAGATTTGCTGATGAAATTAAAATCTCAGCACTGCCTCTCTACTTTCAATAACATGATTTGCTTTGGTTTTATTTTAACATTTTATCACTTATCTTCTTGTGTATTTACTTAGAAAGGATAATGGAATATGGAGGAAATACACAATTGATACAGTCGGCAACTTCCTACTTTTAAAAAAACATGTTTAAATATATGAATTCTTTAATGTGCTTAAAATTCTTTCATGTCCTTTTTTACCAAATAGTTAGACAGTCAGATCTGGGGAACCACTCTAGCATCATTTGGTTCTTTTACAAAATGCTTGTTGCCCTGGGACCAAATGACTGACCAGTTAACTTACTAAACACGAGATTTCCTGATACGCTGGTGGTCCACCAAATGCCAGTGATGACATCATTGCCATGGAGAACCCAACAATAAAACCACCACCACCAAGCGGCTTCCCCGTCCCACGCTGAGCCTGCAACTAAGGTACATGCCCTTGACCGGAATCGAACCCGGGTCCCTTCAGTCCCCAAGCCGATGCTCTTTCCAATGAGCCAAACCGGTCTCGGCCAGATTCACATTTCTAATCACTTTATGTTGGCAGAGGAGCATGTTTACTTCCAAGGTAGGCCAACCTGGTGATCTCCTGATAACTACAGAAAGGAGGATGGAGGGACCCGCCCAGAAAAGACCAAAATAAATAAATAAATAAAATAAGTAAAATGAGAGCCAGAATTCAAATGCAGAGCCCTGAAGAGTTTACTGGGCACGCACTCCCCACAACGTGTTGAAACATGGGGCCCAGAACACCAAGAGTCAGTTCCCATATGAGCTGGGGAGCCTCGCACGGAGGAAAATATTTGCTCTGTGGGCACACGCCACATAGCTAATCCCAGGCCAGGCCCTCTACCATGGGGTGTGTCTGGTCTTGAGGAAGGAATGCGGCCGGCTTGGTGCACATGGATCCCAGCCGCTGTTAACAACAGCCCTCGCTACCTAGGCCGTGGGATTCCGTCCAAAACGCACAGTGAGTGGGGCAAAATGTAAGCTGCACAACAACAGGTTTGTTTGTTTTTTTATTATAAAAATGGTGATCCTCTGTACACGGAAGATCACAGATTTTATAATGCATAAACAACAACAAAAAACTCACAGACATGGGAAAGAAGGTGAGTTCACCGAAGGTGAGTTATCTCAGGAGGACACAGCGGTGATATTAATTAGAACTCCCGCTTTATTGTTTGTAGATTTCTAAACTGTTCTAACGTTTTATAGCTGCCTTACCGTACGGTTGCAAATAAAGAGTAAAGTGCATTAGATACTGAAAAGTGGCATATCAGGAACGACATCGGACAACCTGCCAAGATATTATATCTCCTATACAATACCTGACTATTTTAAGTTTTTCACATCTTCAATTTGAAAGAACCCTCCCTGGTAAGGTAGCAACAAAAAGGTTATAAGAAAACTGGTCTAGCCCTAACCGATTTGGCTCAGTGGTAAGAGCGTCGGCCTGCAGACTAAAAGGTTCCAGGCTCGACTCTGGTCAAGGGCATGTACCGTGGTTGCAGGCTCATCCCCAGTAGGAGATGTACAGGAGGCAAGGAGGCAGCTGATTGATGTTTCTCTCTCATCGATGTTTCTAACTCTCTAGCCTTCTCTATTCCTCTCTATAAAAAAAAAAAAAAAAAAAAAAAAAAAAAAAAAAATCAATTAAATATATTTAAAAAAAAAAACTAGTCCAGTCCTTCTAAAGGTCAGTGAGATTTAGGGGATCGCTGGGCACACAGTGCAGCATACAGATCTTGTAACATGGAAACCCACACCGGAAACCTGTGTGATCATATTAACCAATGTCACCCCAATATATTTACTTTAAAAAGGAAAAAAGAGAGAGAGAGAGAGAGAGAGAGAGAGAGAGAGAGAGAGAGAGAGAGAGAGAGAGAGAGAGATATTTAGGAGTTAGGAAAACCAAATGCAAGGTGTGACCCTTCCTCAAATCCAGGTATGAGAGATAAAAAGATGTGGACAATTAGGGAAATTTGAAATAGAGAACAGGAATTGGACGTAATGTATTGTTGTTACATTTCTTCCTTTTTTTTTTTTTTTTTGTAGTGGAATTATGGTTATGCAGGTGAGTGAACGGCTCTAGGCATTGCCAATGGATATACAGAGGGGGGGAATGGCATGATGCCTGTGACTAACAAATGGCTATAAAACAACACACGCACATGAGGACATACACAAATTCAGGGTTGAAACACGTATGACAAAACATGAACAGTTATCGAATCTATAATAGATGGTGGGTGTCCAGGCATTCGTGGCGCTCTTCCTTTAGCTTCCTGTGTATCTAAACGTTTTCACAAGCAGAAGGTCAAAAAAGGAAGGCTACCTTCCAAGCACGCAGGCAATAAGCAGATTCCAGCCACACCTACGCCTTGCAGCTCCCTTTCAGCGGCCCTGCCTCCTCCATGGACTCCTCTGATCCTTCCTTCCAACAGATCACCTTGGCTTAACTCCCATGGTCATGTTCATGCTTACTGGGCAGAGCAAAAACTGATGTAGCCACACTTTTTGACTCTACACTCCTTCAAAACTGGAAGCCCATTTCCTCCACCTATAAGACCACCCCATTGACCTCCACTAAAAGCTCATGGCATGCACAGCCAGAACCGTGTGCTCACAGAGCTGGGCTTCTGGAAAGAACTCCCAGGCTCTCATTGACGACATTCCTTACCCTCAGGAAGGGCTACACCTGAAGTGTCCCAGGTAAACGATCTGTGTGACTAGTGTAAGGAGGGGGTTAGAGGTGACCGTCCCGCCTTTTCAGTCTCAGCATTGTAAGGGTCTATGAATGACCTCGCGTATTTAAGCTCCTGTAAGCACCACGCTGGTAAAGGTCTTTTCCAGTACATGCTACAGTGGGAGACACATTCAGAAAAGACCAGTCACTTCTAACGCCTACTGCTAACCCGTCCATCGGCTTCCGGAAAGCTCTCATTCATGTGGAAGCTTCACCGGGAACTCCCAGCTGTGGATTTCCAGCACCTTCTACAGTACTCTATTTCTTTCCCTAAATACATCACCAAAAAAACCCCCGCTAAGTTAACTGCACAACGCAAAGACAGCTCTCTCATAATACAGAGAAAGCCACTCAGCCTACCAATACGATGGGTGAGAAGTGGAGGGATCTTTTATATTGTCAACCAAATGCAGTCTAGTCCTCTTCCCTGGATCATCTGTGATGTCTTCAGGGGAATGAAAGAGACACTAAAATCCAAATCTCAAATGTAGTTATCACACGTACTTTTTATTTCCCGTGCTATGTTACAGATACCTGCCCGTTTTCCCCCCTCAAGTTCAAAAAATCACCGATAGAAGCTAAGTGCTGTTGAGCCGAGTTCTATATTTACCAACAGACTCTGGAATTTTTCCAGCATTCCGTATTTTTACAACTCCCAAGCACACCTCACAGAGCTATGCAACCCTCGTCTGGGTGTGAGAGAGGAAAGACTGATGCAACCCGTCCATCCTGTGTATGAATCCGGGCACAGCTCAGCTGGGTTTTGAAAAAAATACTGTGTCATTTTCCGAAGGAGAATTTTAAAGACGGGTGGGGTGGGGTGGGATGGGGTGGGGTGGATTGGGCAAGAAAAGCTTAGGGGAAAATGTCTTCTCTGATTTCCCCCTTAAATAAGAGCAGAACAGAAGTCAGTTTTGTGTGGTGAAAATTAGACTATTCGTTTCTTCTATACATGTTACTGTGGAATACCCCAATGAAATCCACACGTCAAATTCTTTTTGGCCAAGTAAGAGTGTTGTGCAAGGTGTAAAATGCAAGGCCCTCCCTTTTAACAACAAAAGCAGAATGGTCACATTGTTTAATTCCTTCATTTCTCGCCTCCTCACTCACTTTCAAAGGCAGTGGTGAGATGGAGAGGAATTTGTCCAGAAACACATTTCCCAACATTCCCGTGTGCTACCCACGCACATGACCTGTGGAGACCTCCTTCAGCTAGCTTTGGAGCGAGGGGACAGAGTCCTGCTACATGGCGTCCATCAGGCCCACCTGCATGCATGGTGGCTACACAATAGCCTCATCCATGCAGCGGATCGCTGGGACCGGGAACCAGCACCCACACCACGCAGAGGATGGCTGAGCAGCCAGTCCACCACCACAAAG